AGGTGCCCCAGTCTCTCCTCGTAGGGCTTGGTCTGCAGGCCCTTAACCATACGAGTGGCCCTTCTCTGGACCCTCTCCAGGTTATCCGCATCCCTCTTGAAGTGCGGCGCCCAGAATTGCACACAGTACTCCAACTGCGGTCTGACCAGCGCCCGATAGAGGGGAAGTATCACCTCCTTGGACCTATTCGTCATGCATCTGCTGATGCACGATAAAGTGCCAGGGGCCTTGGGGCTCAGCCCAGTGCTCTCATGTTGTCACCCAGCCCCCGCCCCCGCCCCGGCAGCTGCATGCTGGGAGCCTGGGCGTTCTGTGAGCAACCCTGAACCATGACCGGCTCCAGCACGGTGCCCCAACCCTTGCAGCAAGGTCCACAGCCACCCTATTGCCTGGAGTGTGGCAGGAGACAGAGGGGAGGGGACTGTCCAGGGTCACAAAGCTGCTCGCTGGCTGAGCTGGGCCTCGAGCCTCACGCCCTTGCCAGAACTGGGGGAGAACCCAGGAGTCCGGGTTCCCAGCCTCCACCAACCATGCTGTCCCATGCTCTGGAAAGGAAGTAGCCTTGGCTCCTACTCCCTTCCCAGAGCATGGGACAGAGCCCAGGGGTTGGTTCTGTCCCCTCTCCCCCAGGACTGCAAGCATCCGGAGCTGCTGCCTCCCCTCCCCCCCAGGGCCTGCACCTGGCAGGGTTGCACCTACATTGCAGCGTGTAGCGACCAGCTGGGCAATGGCATTGCTGACCAGGCTGGGGCAGGCGCGCAGGCTGAGCTCCCGCAGGTGCGGCACCAGCAGCAAGTGCAGCGCGGCCCGTGTCAGGCGCCGGCTCTCCCCCAGTTGCTTCAGCAGGTCCTGGACCAGGCAGCCAGCTGCAGGGATGGAGGGAATGGGGGAGTGAGGCGGAGGGCATGGGGTTGCCTGTGGACAGGCAGAGACCCTGAGCTGCAGCACGTCTCCATCCTTCCACCCAGGCTGTCTCCTACCCTCCCCTGCTGACTTCCACCTCCTCCCCCGCAGCGCTCCCCCACCCCTATGCTGGGCACATCAGAACTGCCATGAACAGGGCCCGACTCCAGGTCTGTCTTGCTCCTGTCACGCAGGAGGCTGGAAGGGAGAGCCACCAGGGCTGAGTAAGGTTTTCCCCATTCCTCTCTCCCCTGCAGCTTCCAGCACTGAGGTCCGGGCAGGTCTGATGCAGAGGCCATGCCCCTCACCTCCTCTTCCACAGCCACTGATGCCCCTTTCCTCCCAGCATGTGTCCAAGCCCTGGTGAATCTGTGCAAGCTCTCAGTTTCCCCCATGTCTGAGCTCTCCCCTGCCATGAGTCCCATCCTTTCACTCCACGTCGGGGGAACCAGAACTTCCTGGTGCTCATTATAAACTGCCAGCCTGCTCCTTGCGTGCTCTGATGCCCAGTTCTTGTCTGGCGAGGGACAAGATAATAATAAATCCCGACTCCTTTTGTATGTTGTAAACCCACATCAGGCTGAGAAGGACAGAGCCCAGCGCTGCCCGCCGCTCACCCAGCTCGTTGAAGGGCCCCATGATGTAGCGGAAGTGGTACTCGTCCAGATAGTTCTCGCTGTAGTCCTTCACCCACACACCCTGCATGTGCTGGGCCACGCTCCCCAGGCACAGGCTGCTCAGAGAGGCGACACCTTTCCTCTTGGGCATCTGGCTCCTGCAATGGAGGCAGAGGAGTGTTACGCAGGCACGGGGAACTTCCCTTCCACTCGCCCACAGCTTCAGACATGAGAACAAATGCTTCTCCCCAGGGGAGCTGGCTGCCGTGATGGCCCAGCGGCAATACTCACCAATGCCGGCTGGGAGACCGGAGGATGGAGGCACGTCTGCTGGAAACTGCCGAGGGCTCCCAATTTCCCCCCAGCCTCTGTCCCACGTGCGCGGTGGCCAGCCTCTGTCCCACTCTGACAGACGTTCCCTGACTGATTTCACTCAAATCTGAAGCTCTGGGGACTGGGCAAAGCCCAATCACTCGCGGGCTGGGAAGGTATCAGTACCTTGGGATTTCTATCCTTGCGAAAGCAAAAGGGAGGTTCTTCTCACCCTTCCTTCCCCGTTGTGAAATGTTGCCAACCCACATCTGTTTCTGCGTCATGCACCCTTGTGCGGCGCTGCTGGGCTCCAGAGGCAGCCCCAGCTGACAGGAAAGCTGCTGGCAGGAGGACGTAGGGTGCAAACTGGGGCAGCCTGGGCGTGGCCCTGCCAGGAAGAGCCTGGTGCCGTCTCCTGCTGCCGTTCCCTAAGCCAACGCCCCGGAAGAGGCAAGTCCAGGCTCTGCCCAGCACATGGCCCCAGCGGGATAGGCACTTCCAGGAGATGCCTTGTCACCGCATCATGCATGGGCTGCATCGGGAGCAGGAGTAGGACATCCCTGCCCCAGCCCAGCCCAGCCCAGCCCCTTCTTTGTCTCCCACTGCCTCTTGACCCGTCCGCCCCTCTGGCTGGCCGAAACAGCCCAGAGGAGCCAGGGGGCTGGGAGTGGAGAAGCCTGGGGTTGGACTACCCTGGAGAAGCGTCCTGGGCTCATCTGCCTGGGGGCAGTGGCTGGGGAGAACCACGGCTCAGCCAACCTGCAGGGTAGCAATGAGACCTGCCCCCTTCCCTCCCCATCTCTACCCAGTCCGGTGCCCATCTCTTATCCTCCTGTGGGGCCAGGGGCTGGGCTGGGCTGCCTCCCCAGAGTCATCCGTCCTGCTTCTCCCCACAACCTGCTCCAAGCTGTGCTAGTCCTCTGGGGCACGTGGGGGGAGAGAGGGGGAGATATCTGGGCAATTCCTGCCTCCTCTCTGCAGGGCTGGGCAGGCCAGGACCTGGGGCAGGGACTGGGCAGCTGCCACCAGCTGTGTCCGGGCTCCCTGGACTAATGGCACCTGGCAGGCCAGGATTGTGTGTGGGAACAAAAGCGGCAATGCACTGGGCAGGACCCCAGGTCTGTCTTGCTCAGTCCCATGGTCCCGTAGTAAGGGAGGCGTATAGGTTTCACGATGGGCAACAGCCCACGAGCTTTTTTTGGCACATCAAATATGTTTGTCCCCCATGGGGAGAGCTGGAGGGAGAGTGCCTGGGTCTGAGCAGGGTTTTCCCCATTCCTCTCCCCTGCAGCCTCCAGCACTGAGGTGCAGGCAGGGCTGATGCAGAGGCCGTGCCCCTCACTCCCTGCCCCAGAGCCACCGATGCCCCTTTCCTCCACACGTGTCCGAGCCCCGGTGAATTCAGCTGAGCTCTCAGCTCCCACATAGATTCATAGATGTTAGGGTGGGAAGGGACCTCAGTAGGCCATCAAGTCCGACCCCCTGCCCTGGGCAGGAAGGAGCACCGAGGCCAGACGACCCCCGCCAGGTGCATGTCCAGTCTCCTCTTGAAGGCCCCCAGGGTAGGGGAGAGACCACCTCCCTTGGAGCCCGCTCCAGATTCTGGCAACCCTGATGGTGAAGAAATTCTCCCCGACGTCCAACTTAAATCTGCTCTCCGTCAGTCTGTGGCCGTTGTTCCTAGTTACTCCGGGGGATGCCCTGGTAAATAAAGCATCCCCTACCCCCTGCTGCCTTCCCCTGACGAATGTGCAGCAGCCACAAGACCCCTCAGCCTTCTCTTGCGGAGGCTGAAGAGATCCAGGTCCCTCAGTCTCTCCTCGTAGGGTCTTGCTCGCAGGCCTCTGACCATACGAGCGGCCTCCTCCGGACCCTCTCGGGAGTCTCCGCGTCCCTCCCAAAGCGCGGTGCCCAGACTGGACGCAGCACTCCAGCCGCAGCCTGACCAGCGCCGCATCGAGGGGGAGCATCGCCTCCCTGGACCTGCTCGTCATGCGCCTGCTAGAAGGTTAGCCTTGTCGATCGTTTCATCACGCTGACGGCTCACGTTCACCTTGGTGTCAGCGATGACTCCCAGATCCCTCTCCGCTGCTGTGCCGCTGAAGTCCGCCCCAGCCTGGAAGTGTGCGGGCGCGTCTTTTTGCCCAGGTGCAGCGCTTCGTACTCATCTTTGTTGAACTGCACCCTACCTCATCCTGCCCATTTTTCCAGCGCGTCCAGATCCGCCTGGATCTGCTCCCTGCCCTCTGCTGTGGTAGCTCTGCCCCTAATTTGGTCTCAGCCGTGCAAGCGGACGGGGCTCCACCCCCTCCGCCAAACCGCCGGTGAAGACACAGCACC